AGTAAACCGCTAACTGATCACGTGCAGAGAAAAATAATTTGAGGAGGTTCAGTCAGGTTCGAACCTGAGAGATGCATCTCCACCTTCAGCTGATCCATGTACTGTTCACTGAAGCCTCATCAGAAATGGTCTCAGTGGAAGGGTTGCTTTCAAGAAGTCATTATTAAGAAAGGTAAACAAACAAAAGCCTGAAGTATGCCACATTACACAAGAACTGGACTGAAAATCCGTGGCAACTGGCCCAATGGAGTGATGGATCCAAATTAAAAAATTTACAGCCTGCATCTGTTAAAAACGGTGGAGGCTCTCTCATGGTTGGGGCTGCATTTCAGCCAGTGGTGTTGGAGATCTTGTTAAAATCGATGAAATTATGAATCCAGATAAGTATCAAAAGATTTAGCATCTGCAAAAATGGTAAATTGCTGCACCCATCTCCCATTTTCCATGTAAATTATAAAGATATAAGGGGTGCTCAAAACTTCTACATAAGCCTGGTGCAGTCGTACTGTGTAAAATTGTATGCACAAACAGATTTGCCACCAACAATGAACATGTCTGTTTTTAGTATTGTTTGGTCCTGGAGAAGGACAGCCCTGTTTGGATTCTGCGTGCAAACCACAGTTTCCAGCCGTCTTTAACAACTTAAGAGAATTATACTGCACAATTTTCTCATCCAATAAAAGAATATTTACTACATCCGTTTACCTTGCATTTTATTTAAAACCTACAAAAGGATCACATATTTCTAGCTGTCACTAAGGGATATTGCCCTTCAATATAACTAAAGCTTTCAGACAGTTTTAGGGGTCGCAGTATATAATTATTTGTGACACAGTCATACAGGTTTAAAATAATACGAATTAGAACTAAATACCCTGAATTTGAACTGAAATGTAACATTTAGGACAACTGAGTTAAATTCTATCTCTGAGCTACGTTTTGATGTAAGTACAGGATATATAATAAAATATGTATAATATAAGACCTATTATTTTTTGCACCGTCAAAATTAAATGAGTGAAATGAGTGTCTTGAGCTACACTATAGCTAACTAGTTTACTTGCTAAAGTTAACATTACTGTTGGCTAAAGGGAGTCCGCGCACGGCTGTGGTGTTCTCACATACATTACACGAAACAACACAATTTTGCTCCAATAAAAGTAAAATAAATGACATAAATTAAAGATTTTCTCCATTTCGGTCGTCCATCACGGATGCAGCGTCTACTGTCGCGGTTGCTAAGCAACAAGAGCCGAGCGTCGTAGGGGACACGGTCCAGTTTAACAGCCGCTCACTTCCGGTCTTTAAGGGCAGCCTCTGAATTTGAACACACGCCTAGTTTTGCGTTTTAGGAGAGTGAGTGCTTAAATGATAAAAGAAGTAAGCACACAGACAGCGCAATAATGATGTAATACTTTGTGTGTGGCGTTGCCACTGGTGACGCGTCTTTATCCGTTTTAGTCCCGCCCTTGCTCGCTATTCTCCCTGTGATTGGCTGATAGTGGTTCCCTTGCGTTTCACTGGTTAGGCTGTGTGCAGCCCGTTTGCTAGCTGGGTATATTTAGCTGATTGCATTATCGGATCAGATTTAGCCTGCAGTCCAGCAGAGTAGTGAACGTTATTTCAGGTGAATTCTGATTAGTAGTTAGCCAAGTAGTTAAGCTAACGTGAACAGCAGCCGTCTTTTTTCAGAAAAGTCTAGGTTATCTGTAAGGAGCGAAAACAAACCATTTCGGACATGTCTTCAGACGAAGACAGGGCCAAGGAAATTTTGAAGGGCTTCAAACTGTATCCTTTTTCCTGTTTGTGTTGCGCGAATGTTAGAAACACAGCAGTGAGCTAAATAGCTAGCTGTCTGGGTAAAGGCATAGGACAGGATGCAGCTGCCACATTAGCAGGATGGATGTTGTTGTACAACAAGCTTAGTTGCTAAAGCTAACCTGCCACAGTCTCTGCGCACGGAGTTGTATAGTTGCTGTGTTCCAGTGTCTGAACGGACACAACAGCAGCTCATTGAATGACGACCTGTGGGCTCACATGAGCTTCCACATGAGGGTGAATTCGCCTGCAGTTGTAGTACCTGTGGCACATGATGAGGATGAGATTTTGCTCAGGTAGCTGAGAAGTAACTGTTGTGCCTCCTGTAACTATTATTAAGCGCCTCACAGGTATGTGACTCGCGTTGAGCATAGTCTGACTGCTGTATGGTTCCGTAATGCTGGGAGTTGAAACCCAGGTGCGCCTCTCTGTGTGATGATGGCAGACTTGATTCCACGCAGCTTTTCTGGATTTGTATGCTAACCACCAGAGCAACATTGGAGATTGCAGTATGACCTGTTAAATGTGTACTCATGTAGTGAGTCAATTTTATTCCTCTTTGGTGTGCCTGTTAGCGCTCATCCAGCACATGTCTGAGAAAGTGACCGAGCAACAGATTTGTGATTAGAGAATAGGAGATGCTGTGCAGGATAAGTGTTCAGCATAAGTTACCTCAGTCATTTAGGTAGGTAAATGGAGTCTCTTTAAGCTTGATGCAGCTCAACATGTCATTGATTGATTCATGAATTCTGAGATGTAGCATCCAGTTTGAAAGACAAATGTCAGAACATCAGTCTGTAAACTAAACATGAAGCTGGTGTTTTGTTTGTTTTTTAGCCAAGGGAAAAAAAAAGACAAAGTGATTAAAGTCATGCAGTAAAAGTGCGGTAGAGTAGTATCACAATAGTCTCTTATGTGTAGGTTATCATTGTAGACTTATTTTTAGGGGTTACACCTTGTGTACACATGCTGTAACATAAGCATGAAGCAGAAGCTAAGGAGGTGTTTCAAGTGCACATGTGATGTTTAGGTTGCCTATATCTTATAAGAACTCAGCGCTGAGTCAGTTCACAATCATTAAAACACTTGTAAAATAGAAGGACATGCCTAGAAGCACTAAAACACAGGAGTAAAACTATGTTATAACCTGTGTCGCACAGAATTAAACACATACACTTCATTTCTGATGCTCAGAAAACATAAAAACTGAAAAGCATGTCCAGATTAGAAATCGTACCATAGAAAAAGTCTACAGAAAAGAAAGGGGGGGGATTGTGTGCTTAATGGTTAATGGTCTGTGCCAGTGTCACCCTTTCATGTAAATTAGCTTGAAGCTACACTAGAACATCCTGGGTTAACTTGACCAGTTAAGAACCAGCTTTATGTGAGCAGTTTTTACTGCAGGCTTGATTTATACATTCACACACATTTCTACAGCACTTTTACTGCATGCCTTTAACTGTTTGGTCAGACCTCTTGATGCACTGTGGTAATGGTTAAACCCATGAATTAGTGGAATGGAGCTTTACAGCCTTCTGTCCTTATTGAAATGGGGTAAAGAGAATTTTCTTTTTCCCTTCTTTAGTGTAATGGTAACACAGATAAAGTCCAATATGACAACAGCCCTGTTTAACTAATATAATACTAAAGTAGTGTTTGTGAAGTTATGTCACTTTGTCCCATACTGAGTAGTCATCAGATTTGTAAATGGTGAAATGTGATGATTTTAAATGGCCAGGATGTTCTTACGAAACCCCTTCAGACACCTTGGAACTGGAAGGAAGTCTTCTAGAAGGATTAGTCAGATTTCAGCAAGCTGCTGTGAG